CTGTGGGGAATGATTCTCAAGAGGATTTCATCCGCCCATTCTTCATTTTCGTTGGGGGAGGGAGTTTGCCTCAGAAATCATGGGATATGTTTGCACAGACGCCAAGAAGAAACCAACCACTTGGAGAGATCTCCAATTTGAGTGACCAATTGATGGCGGGCAAACGGATGCTCTGCTACAGAGACGGCAGCAACCCGGCAGAATCACTCGACATCCGTCGGGGCTAGCCCAACAAACGGAAAAACATGTGTCCTTGAACGCAGCGCTTTGCGCACCTGACCCCGTTCATCAACATTGCATGAAATCGCCTGTTCCAAACACGTTGCTCTGAAACGTCCCCGCATGGTGCACTCAGCGGCGGCGCGTGAGGTATCTCGCGCAGCTACAGGCGCGCAAGTTGTGAAGCAGTGTGGGGCTTTGGGGGTGGGGTCGATCAAATCAAGAGCAAGCATCAACAACGACACAGAAGCAGCACGACCTTGTGACTATTAAAATTCGTATGCACGCAATTGGGGGCCAACCATACCTGTAAATCAATTATATTCTTGAAGTAGATGTCGGTGTGCCCCCTAAACGTCGAGCCCGGATGGCCGCATAGCCATCCACACTCAGAAAGCTCATCGCCATGGCCTTCGTGAGCCGGATCGGCAGGCGTGGGAGCGGAGCTCTGAGACCAGCGTGGCGCCGCTTGCCAGGCCGGCCGGCCTGACTGGGTCCTATGGGGGGACCTTTGGGCACCTGGTTGACATGTGGGGGGAACGGAGCGTGGCCAACTGTGCGGCCAGGCTGTTCCCTACCTGGTTTTCATCAGGCAAAAGCATCCAAGTCGCGTGATTCTCTTTAGGTCATATGTCTCTGCAGGGTTTTGCTCGAGATTATTTTCACTACCCTGCCGGGCTCACAGTCGCCACCATTTGGATTCTGCGCATGGTCCCAGTTGTTGACTCATACCTTTCCACCTTTTGTCCAGTGGGAACGCTGAGAGCCAATTTTCCTTGCAAACCACGGGGTCCGCGTAAGTGGGCGAGCTTTTCAAAGTTGATGGAAACGCTTCGCAGTCGCAGAATTGTGGACGACGAAGCCAAGAAACTGGTCGGGGCTTTCGGGACTCCTTTCAAAAGAGCCAAAACAAAGCTCAACCAACTAGCCCAGACATATAGTTTTGAAATAATGGTGGTGTGCTTCAACATGCTTCGGCTTGGGCGGTGCTTCGGCTCTGACGGCGTGGGTGACGTGGCGCGCCATGCTTGCAGCTTGGACCTTTGGCAGGCAGTACGAAGACCTCTCTGCACGCCACAGCCAGATCCAGGAGGCCCCCGTTCGCTTTTCCAGAGCTGTTTATTGGAGTCACTCGACCCCATTGTTCTTTTGAAACACGGGTTTCGGTCGGAAAAGCGAGCTGAGACACGGGCACATGGCCAGTTGGCCAACTCAAGTTGCTTTAATTCTGTGGGGCTAATGTACCATGGAGCAAATTCAGGTCCTGGCTTTCTCGACTCCACTGCTTGGGGCGGTTGGGGGGCCTTCCCCCTGTTGAACCTTTTGGCGCATGGCTCCAAAACCGGTTTGGAAGTGAATCAAACAGGCCCGCCCATTGAACTTGCAGCCCTTGCTGCAAGGACCAGGCTGCCATGAGAGCCAAGCATGCGCTCGGCTCAGATGTTGTGTGGAGACTATGGCCCCTTTTTGGATCCTGGCTCGGGGATACCAAAAAGGGCCCCTACTTTCTGACACCCCATCCCCAAAACCTCAACCCTCAACCCTCTTGACCCCCCCAACCAAATATATATATATATATATAACACCAGCCATTGTACTCCAAAGCAACCCCCCCCGCCCAAAAAGAAAAACACCTTGTACTCCAACCACGGCTCCAACCAACGCAGCGCCCAGCACCCCGCCACCCCGCCGCCCGCCCCGCGCCCGAGGATCAGCTGGCCGCGCAGCTCAAAGGCACCGAGGCCGCCGCGGCGCGGCTCCGGGCGGAGGCCGCGGAGCTGCGGGGCGGCGCCCAGCGCAGCGCCGCGGCGCTCGCCGGGGCGAAGCTCAGCTCGGGGGCTCGAGAGGGGCCGGTGCCTGGGGTGGTGACGCATGGACAAAAAGACGGGGGGGGGGGGGGGAATGGGTGGTTTTAGTATGTTTCTTGGATTTTGGCAGGATTGGTTTGAAGTTCTTTTTTTTGTTGGTTGGTTGGGAGGGATGTGGGAAGAGACTGGTGGATTTTGTGGTGGCTTGTGGCTTGTGCATGCGTGCGCGCGTGCCCGCGCCTGAACTTGCGCCAAACGCAGTGCGTCCAAAAGTTTGTTCCAATTCTGTTGTGTCAGGCCTCTGAGGGAAAAGGCGGCCTCTGAGAATCGGCGCCCTTTTCAGATGAACTAAGGAGACGTTCTGGGTGTGTGGGTGTACTACATTCTCTGCATTTCCCTTTTTCGTGGCCTTGGGGTCGTTTGATTCCTTCTGCAAAGCCCAAGGCGGGCAGCACCTGCAGCAGCAGATCGCCCAGCTCCACGAGGTGGGTTGCTGGTGCTGGGATGGTCGTGAGTGGCTCGCCTGGCGGGGATTTGGCGATTGGTTGGTGACAGGTTGCCAGGGTTATCAGGGTTTGACAGGAGGCAGAGGCGGGAAGGGGAAACTGGGTGCCCCTGCCCAAAAATGCCCTGTCTCCATCCCGGATTGTCTGGATGGTTGGGTGCCTGAACAAATGCAACCTCACACCTTCATTGATAGATCATAGCCTATAGCCGAAAAGCAGCAGTGCAGTTTCGACTCACGTTGTGGCACCCACCAAAAAAGGTTCCATTTACAGCTCCAGCCTTCCAAACTTCCTGTGAGCCTCCCTCATCTACAGCAGGCTAGCTTTTGCAAACCCTAGAAGCGCTACCCAGGCCCCCTGGCAACAGAAAAGAGGAGCTCCATTTTGACAAAGCCCGAAAACTGGCTCGTCTCCAGCGAAGATGCACCAGGCCTTGCAAGCTTCCAGCAAGGCGCGGATGCAACCGCCAACGACACGTATGCAATCGCCAATGCTTCGGTCACTTTCAATCGTGGTACGGGTTTGTTTGCTGGTGGCCGCCATTGAGCAGTTTTGAGCTGTGCCGTCAATCAATTCAGTCGTGCCCATTTGGTGGCCGCCTGGGGCACTTCAGTTTTCAATGCGCTTGCCTGGGGCCTGGGGCGTCGGGCCCATCCGGCGAAGGCTCAGCTCGCAGCGCAGCTGCAAGGGACGCGGAGAGTACACGCAGGGTGCCAGTAGGGGGGGGTGGGGGGTTCGGGGCAAGGGGTAGGAAGGGGGTCGGGAGGGGCGGGAGGGGCTGTTTGCAGTGGGGGGGGGGGAGGGGGAGGGCGGAGGGTGGGGGGGGGCGCGGACGGGGGCCGGGGGTGGGGGCGTGTGTGGGGGGGGGGGGGTTGGGGTTGGGGGCCCGGGTGGTTGGGGGGGGGGTTTGTTTGTTGGTGTTGTGGGTGGGGTTTTTTTTTTTTCTGTTTCTTCGTTTTTTTTTGTTTTTTTTTTTTTTTGTTTTTTTTCTTTTTTTTTTTCAAAAACCACGGCTATCTCAAAGGAATGAACATTGAAAGCGTAATTTGCCGTCGCCTTGCACTGCTTTCTGGAGCCGAAGGGCTGTTCAGGGGGAGCCTTTGGGCCATTGGCGGCCGCAGGCTGCGCACCTGGCGGCTCTGCGCTTGGCGGAGCTTGAGGCGGCCAAGCGCCGCGCAGAGGCGGGGCTGCTGGGGAGCCTGGAAAAATAAAGCAGACGGGATGCTGCAGCCGCATTTGGCCTTCTTGGGTATGTGTCAAGCACCCGGATCCCTTTTTTTGGACCTGAACATGAATCCCAGAATTGGGACTCCAAGGCTTCACACCTGCAACATCCCACAATTGCACACCTGGGCGAGGCAACGAGCCCTCCACCGGATCGGGGGATCCAAATGTGCCAGGACTGGGAGCTGAAGCTGAGACAGGACGAGAAGGCTGGGGACTCAGGCTTCCGGATGGGACCTGGTTCTGAGCAAACCACCGAAGCCAACCCAATTCTCGCCATGGACCACCAGATTCTTGCTGGTGCTCAGCAGGGAGTGAGGGAATGAGACTTGTATGTAAACCATCCCTTTGAGGGGACGCCTGGTTTCATTCACATTCCCTACTGAGCACCAGCACTTTTTTCTGAGCCTCGGCCCTGAGCCACCCGACTTTCAGGCCCTGCAGTCACTGGAGGAGCAGCTCAGGGAGGCACACCGGGCGGGCCCTTCCATCGGCCAGGCAAGCGTCCTTTCCGCCCAGGCGGTGGGAGGATGTGAGGCCATGGCTGGCCGTGAGCCCAGCACGAAAATGGTTCCTTGCAAGGCTTGGCGAAACGGAGTCTGGATCTATCGAGTTGCAGAGTGACCAGGGCTTTTTGGTCCATCCGTTTTCACGCATGGCCCAGCTTCCAGTGAAAAAACAAAAACCCTACTCCGGTCAGGGGAGATCTTCAGCTTGCGCAAGCAGCAGGAGGAGCTGCAGGCTGCCAGGGGGTGGGTGGTGGTGGTGCGCGTCTTTCTGCATGTCTTCTGGCCAGCTGCATTTGTAGGAGTCCCATGTGTGCGCGTCCTAAGAAACATGCCTTTTCCCAGAGTCATTGCCCACCTTTTTTGGGCAGGAGCAGCGGCGCGGCAGCGAGGACGCTCTGTGTGTGGTGCGCGCGCACGCCGATCGGCTGATTTGCATGCTGTCGTCCAGGAATCATGGCCCAACCCATGGACTATGGGAGGAAAGGGGCATGAGCAGACGTAGCCTGGTTGCCCGGCATCCTGAACTCACGTTTGTTGGACACAGCAGGCTAGCATGGCAGGGTGTAGTCATGATCCCTAGCATCCTTGCCATGGACAAGGGGGGAAAGCCCAGAAGCAAATAAGAATGAAACAAGCTAACAACAAGGAACAGCAGCAAGAAACCAACAGCGCAGGTCCAACAGGAGAGTTCTGAATCGGCGGATCTGTGGATCTTTCCTAGTGCCCGGCTTTTC